TTGAAGTATGCTTCTGTTTGTATTATCAGGGTGCCTAGATCCTTTCTTTATGGGTTATGTAAAATGGGTTGGTACAGAGTTCAGGTTCTTTCATGTTTATTTGGGAGGGAAATGATGGCTTCATATCAGCTATTCAGGGGTAACCAGAGAAGCCCAATTCAAGTTCCAGTCAGGTACATTCAGGCTTCCTTCACCATGTTGAGGCAGGATCCAGGCTCCCTCAAGCAGTCCTGTGCATTGTCAACCCTATGCCAGAGGGAGGCCAGAGGGTGGCCAGAACTCAGCACTCTCTGGCAGTCTGCTGAGCTCCCATCCTTAGCTTACCAAAGCCAGATCTACCCTGGGGCCTTGGGAGGGGCCTCACAAAATCCCAGGCATAGCACAATTAGGGGAAGCTCATCACCACATGAAGGCAGGATATGGGGGCTGTCAGGCTGTCCCCTGAGTTCTCAGGCCCTCTGGTATTTGGGGACCAGAGGGAGGCCGAATCTGGCACTCTCTGGCCGTCTGCTAAGCTCTGAGCAGCTACCCCAATGGAAGAGGTCCTAATCCACCCTCTCAGGCTGTCTTCTAGGATCTCAGCCTTATCCTACCAAAGCTAAATCTTCCCTGGGGCCTTTTTAGGAGCCTCACAAAATTCCAGGTGGGAGATGGTATGGCACAATTAGGGGAATCTCACCACCATGTGGAGGCAGGGCCTAGGAGCTTTCAGGCTGTGCCCTCGATTCTCAGGTCCTCTGGTAGCCAGAGGCCAAAAAGAGGCCAGAACCCCTGCACTCTCTGGTGGTCTGCTGAGCTCTGAGCAGCTACCCAGATGGAGGAGCTGTGAACCAACCCTCTCAGGCTGTCTGACTGAGTTTAATTTAGAAGGACAACTAACTCATAGTTCTTTTATTTATGATTTTTTTTCTAACAAGGAATTATAATCCTGAAATAATATTCTTTTATTGGCATTTCTTTTTATCTGTATATATGTATATATGTGTTAGGAAGTCACCCTTTCATACTGGGGTATGGGGAAAATCATGGGTCTGGAAGGTACAGGAAACTGTAGAACCTGTGTGTCCTGAGTGCTGCAAGAATAAAAAAGGAACTCATAGGTGTAAAAGTTCTCACAGGTGTGGTGAGACTCACAGGTATGTCAGGTGCATAGAGCTGAATAATGTGAACAGACGGAGGAATGCTGGGGATGGGAAATCATGGGTCTGGAGGAGATTCAAAGTGTAATCCAGGTAGGGATCTGGAACTCCTGAACCTGCTTGAGAGATGGGATGTGGGTGTAGTTGGCTAGAATTAGAGAATACAGTCCACTGGGGAATCTAGAAGGTCTGGGCCATGACTGACACTGTGAGACCAGAGCAGGCCTGAGAACTGGAGTGGCAGATGAATAAGGCTAAGCGTCAAAAACTCATTTGGCCATAGGGAACTAGTGCAGGCCTGAAAGATGAGATGACACTCACAGAGTTTTGTTTAGTTTGCTTCTCTTTTACTTGGTTTTGTGAGACAAGTTCTCTCTGTAGTCCAAGGTGGCCTGGAACTTATGATGTAGAACAGATTGATGTTGCTATCACACAGATCTGCCTATCTCTGCCGCCTGTGTGCTACACTTTAATTTCTATACAGAGCATTTACTACTGGAAAATAGACTCCCTGATTTTCTACCTT